AAAAATAGATCATAACTAAATTTATGCTATTTTTAAGCTAAAATTGTTACACGAACTCTACAACTTAAGGGATATAAGCCTAATATCGTGCCACTAGCTCTATTTGCTAAAAACTACTTCCCTATTTCGGTGATAAAAGAAAATATGCTGATACAATCGAAAAGGAATTACAACATGTATACCTTAGTTCTATTACTGTAACGAAAAAGAAAAGATTGTCGAATTATTACACTATACAAGCCTGATCGTGCCACCAGACCTATTTGCTAACAAACTATTTCCCTCTTTCAGTAGTAGAAGAAAAACTTGCTATTACAATCAAAGGAGTGTTGAGATGTATATGCCTTAGTTTTAAAAAAAAAGAGCGTTGAATTATTACACAATACAAATACTTAGTTTAAAAAAAAAGAAAAATCGAATTATACAAGCCTGACCGGATCTATTTGCAGACAAATTATTTCTCTCTCTCTCAGTGGTAGAAGAAAACCATGCTATAATCGAAGGGATTCTGTAAAATGTATGTCTGAATCTATTACTGTGGCAAAAAAGAAAAAAAGTGTCGAATTATTACACCTGGACAAGCCTGATCATGCTACCAGATCAATAACAAAAGAAAAGCATACTATTACTATAGCAAAAAAGAAAAGAGTATCGAATTATTATATGCCTGATTGTGCCACAGATCTATTTGCTAAAACTATTCCTCTCTTGGCAAAAAAAGGTATGATATTACATTCGGAATTGTAGTATGTGTGACTCATTTCTGTTATTGTAGTAAAAGAGTAACTAGTATTAATAAAAATATAAAGCAGGGTGTTTTTTGCAATATTTAAAATCTCTAACTAAATATTCTAAATATCTAACCTTTGGCAAAGCGCGAACTGACAAAACAGGCTGCTATTTGTTAAAAAAGTTGGGTGGTAAAATAAAGTGTTAGGAGATAGTTGACATGAAAGCAATCGGAATACTGTATATTACAGGGGTTAGTGTACTTTAACTTTGAGCGAAGATTTTCATTGAACTAAAAAAAATTAAGAATTGAGATTTTGTGGTTTAATAAAGAAATATTCGAACTATATTTTTGACTTAAGCAGCAATAGTTGAAAGGTTTCATGAATTTAAGGTTATTATAGAAAAAACCCCTTGCAAAGATAAAATTTATATATAAAATTGAATAATCGATATCTAAAATTGTTATATGAACAACATTTCGAACCCCTGTAAAAGGATATGTCTAGTGACTATTAATAAATTAAAAATAATAAATTAAAAATAATAAATTAAAAATAATAAATTAAAAATAATAAATTAAAAATAATAAATTAAAAATAATAAA